CAAAAAAGGCTAATGGTGCCCTGGGCTGCACGAGTAGGAGTGTTGTCAGCAGGCTGAGGAAGATGATCCTTCCTCTCCCCTCAGCAATGGTGAGGCCGCACCTGGAGTGCTGCATCCAGCTCTGGGCTCCCCACTACAACAAAGAGATGGACATACTGAAGAAAGTCCAAGGAAAGGCCACAAAGATGAGACTGGAGCATCTCTCCTGTGAGGAAACGCTGAGAGAGCTGGGACTGTTCAGCCTGGAGAAGAGAAGGCTCAAGGGGGATCTCATCAATGTATAGAAATATCTGAAGGGAGGGTGCAAAGAGGATGGAGTTATGCTCTGTGCAGTGGCAGGACCAGAGACAACGGGCACAAACTGAAACACAGGAGGTTCCCTCTGAACATCACAAAACACTTTTTCACTACAAGGGTGGCTGATCACTGGCACAGACTCTCCATGGAGGTTGTGGAGTCTTCATCCTTGGAGATATTCGAAAGCCATCTGGCCACAGTTCAAGGCAACTGTCTCTAGGTGGACCTGCTTGATCAGGGGAGTTGGACCAGCTGACCTACAGAGGTCCATTTCAACCTCAACTAGTCCTCAATTCTATGATACACTCCTCAACTCTTACTTACAATGGGGCAGATACAATATGAACCTAGAAACACTGTGATACAAAACGGGCTATATTTAATTTGAAAACACTCATGTCTATGCTGAGCAGTATTTTGGGTTTTCCCTGTAGCATTGCTTTCTATACACTCATTACTTCCAGTTACTATTCTAAGTCTATTCTAGAAAAAGCTTTAAAAAATTACATAATTTCAGAGTAATTGGTATAGAGAACCATGCATAAAAGTTTCATAAGTGGTCTAGACAAAAACACCAAACAGACTTAAGATAATCTTTGATAATGCAGAACAGGACGAAAAAAGCACCAGAAAACAGTCAGCTCAGAATGGAAATAGAATAGATAAATAGTACAACACAAATTATCTTAAAACAGTGACTACCAGCCTCTGCTTCAAGTTGGCTGGACATAGGCTGCTCTAACTCCTTGGTTCTGGATGTCAGGCCATTTAAATTAAAAATGATTTACATTATAGATTCACACACACATAAATAGACTTTCATTAGTTACTCATATTTAAATGAAAACATGATACTAAGTTGGCCCACTTAGTATATGGCCCACTTGGAATAACACATGAATAGGAAAAGGTGACTGAAGCCCTCCAAGTTAAGCAGGAAGATAAACTATTAATTCAACAGTGTACCCATGTTTCGATTCTCTGAATTTCACCTCCAATTAAATGCCAAGCACAAAGCAGCATGGTGCTTCATCTGAGTAGGTTCAAACGTCAAGATTTTAGTCACATTTACTCAAGGCTTCATTTTTCCCTTACAGGAATAGTTGAGATACTCAAACAGAGAGTTTTTGTATCGCATTCAGGGCATACACAATCACATCCACAGACTCACATAAAACTGTCATCAGAGTTACAGAGAAGGTTAACATTGCTTTTGAGCAAATTATATCCCTGAGTGACTCAAAAAGAAGAAGAGTTTCTACAAATACCATGAGTATTCAGATTAACATCTTTGCCCTCCCTGTGTCTACCACCTGAAGTAAAAAACGATGAGCCTTTATTAAAAGCAACAAAAAAGGGGAAGATGCTCCATCCTTTGAGCCAACACTGACAACATCACGTTGCTGCCTTTTACTGTCATTCCTGAAAGAGGCCTACAACATGTACACAGTCACAACAAACATGTTAGAAGTGCCGTCATGTCAACCACAACGTGCAATCACCCTGCCATATAGCACTCTTCAATCTGAATACTGCATAGGTCTTCTGTGACAAGAATTGTGAGTGCTCCTAGTCCTTCCAGGCAGTAGCATTTTAATTTCAAATAGAAAGGATCTTATGATGTACTGAGGAGTTATGGCACTGTCTTGCAAGACAACTGAAAGATACAGAACCAGGTAAGCAGATGAATCCCTGTTGACAGAAAAGCAACTCAGAGAAACAAAGAGAATAAATCATGTTGTCTTCTATATCAAAGATGCACCAAAAATATATTCAGTATCTTTTGAGAGATAGCAGAAGCAAAATGCCTCTGGACTACTTTTCCTACAAACTTCCAAATTCCATAATCTGCCTGCGAAGGATCTGAGGTTACCATTAACCCAATTTAAGTTACTTCTCAAGTGTAGGCTGATCATTGCAAACAGCCACTGGAACAACAGACTTCTGTATCACAGAAAGTATGAAGTATATGAAGTTCAAACCTATTGCCATTAACTGCTTTGATTAAAATACTTCAGGTCTTCATCTGAACACAGGACAAACAGTTTTCAGCAGTCTCTTCCCCTCAGTGGCTATATGAGAATTCTGTAAGTGGCAAAATGCTATATGCAAAACTAAATAGTTGAATATATTCCTGAATTGTTATTTTGAAAGCAAAGACCAACACAATTTCAAACATTAATTGCTTCAGACAAACAATATTGGAATGATTTCACCCTTTTGATTAAAACCTCCTGACACCAGATGTTTACATGATCTGTCAAGAACTGCCGAATGCCAGATAAGATATCTACCCTTGCCTACGCAAACAGTGCTCACGCATATACAAAACGTCAAACAAAACGGACAGTTACAATGAAAAAACTATTTTATTTTTGTTGACAGATAAGAACATCCCGTTGAAAATAAAGAATAAAAAATATATTCTGCTACAACACTTGGAATACTTGAATCTCACGCTATAGCACACGGTGAAATTCTGGTACTGCAACATCACAGTAATCCCTGTGGACATGGGTGCACAGAAAGCCTTGAACAAGTATTTATACCCATAATAGTGCCATATACAAAAATGTCATTCCATAAAGGCCAAACAGAAAATTTAAACATCTTTGTTTTTCTTATGCCAATGGCAATGTAAAAAACGGAAACTGCTTTCAGTCAATTACTTCCACGTAAATCGTATGAGATCTTTTTATGCCAAAGAACTCTGAAATTCAACATAATGAAGCGTGGAAGAAGTAACGTATAAACAAAATACTGAACATGTAGGGGGTGATGTTTTCCTCAATATGTAACTAACTTTCATACAGTTACACCAACAATCAAGTCAGTATTTTCCTAACACAAAGAGAAAATATTCTCTTTCCCCAATCAATGCTCTGACCTTTTCTTACTATAAAGAGCACGCTTGTATTATTCATCTAAGCATACATGCACCACAAAAAGATATGCAAAACAAATCGATACAGATAACCTTTAGTGTCAAATGTCTAATGATGTAATAATAAAAACAATTCTCAAAATCCAAATGACTTGCTAAATTAAAATTGCATTGCAGTCACTTAAACTAACAAAATACTTGGACACATGTGAGCCACAAAATTTATTATTTTCCAGCAGTATCTCTGCTGCAACCTGAGGAGTATCAGACTACTGGTAAAGCAAGGCATTTTCAGAAAAGGAATTTGTAAAAAATACATTTATACTATATGCTTTCATATGAAAAGGCAGTAAGAAATATAATAAAATCTACCATTTTAGGACTACACCTTCCCTAGCAAACAGTTTTTATCACTTGCACTATTACATACAGTACATTCAGTTTCCTACACAGAAAGTACATTTTCTTGTCCCTGATGTATATTACAACTAGCAGTGACAACAAACTGCTTTATTATCACCACTCATTCTTGCAGCTTATACAAACAGCACCAATTTTACCCAAAAAAGGCTTATTGGTTACATAGTAGCACTTCCTTAGAGGAAATATAGGCCCAAAACATCAGAAACAAATGTGTCTTTCCAGAAATATACCAGAATATATGGCTCAGAGTTAAGGGATGAATAACCAAGAGTATTGCATAGCACAGGGATCTCACCTGTATGAATAAAGCCACACTTTGATTGTTTGTCACCTTCTGACTCCAAGAATGGACAACAAATTAAACAGATGCTAATGAAGATGAAAGTAGTACACAACTAAATTTACTGGTAAAAAAAAACAACAACAAAAATTGTACAGGTCTCTCTGGCACAGTGCAAAGTATACATTAAAAAACTGAATACATATGTACAGTGTGTATGCATATTTTTATATATATAGTATGTATTTCCCCGACACATACATGTGTATATATAAAAAGCATGAATGCATACATCCATGCCAAACTTAGCAAAGAGATGGAATGTTTTAAATGTGGATGTGCTGTTCCAGTTAAATCAGTCTGTCCCAGAAATGGCTGTTTATACAGCCAATATGCCCTTCCATGAAACAGAACTATTTATTGCCTGCATAAATGGACAATATACCGTACATTTGTCCTCATAACTTACCAAAGGACTGATAATCACACTTTATAAAAGCTTATATTTGTATCAAGCCCTCTCCTCCATAACCCTTCCCTCCCCACACCTCCATTCCCCATGACCAATTCATATGGCTATTCCCTTTACGGAAATCTAGGAATAATTATCTAGAATAATATACTAGGGTATCACTCTGCTGGAGGACCAGACACAGTATTCACTACAGAACTGAGATCTTCTATTTTAAATTTTTCTTGCAGTATGAACGTTTACAGTCACATCTGTAAAAATTACTAACACCTGAAGCTGGTTTGTTTTATTATTTTCCTTTGGGATTCAGCTGTTTTGGTTCCGAATACGAACACTCTGGCTGAAGTCTTGTAACAGAGAATGCACTTTTCAGGATTCGGAGAGCAGTTCCGACCTCAGTTCAGCTCTCCAGTATGATCAACTGTCCTTCCCTGCAAACTTTCTGAAGTAGTTTGCAGAATACTAGAACGTAATACAGATTTTCCCCCCTCCTCTTTATCCTGAATGTCTTTTTTACATTTTGAGAGTACTTTCAAAAAATAAAGACAATTTATATCAGCAAAATAGTTTCAAATAAAGGCGATGGCTGTGAACCTGAGAGCTTAATTTGATACAAACACACGTATCTGTGGTATCGCCACTGGCTAATACTTTCCTTGTTTAAGTCTTTCAATGTGGTAGCACAACTTTAGGGCAGGCCCCAGTTTCAGTCCCATATATTTCATTATCATATCACTCCTCAGTAAGAGTAGTGCCTTCCCATCGATTTCCTGCAGAAGGAAGAGAATAAACACAACAACAAACAACTACTTTAACAAGCTGCATGATAAAACTGGAAAGTACATTGTATTTGTTTATTCTGTAGTAAAAATCTGTATATTATACATAAAACAGTAACTTAGTATAATTTGGTATTTACAGATGGCCACTGAAATTGAATTTATTTTAATATTTTTTAATGTATGAAAGTATTTGAGATGTTAAAGAAAAATACAGTAAGAAACTGACCAAACAGACTCAAAATTAGGTACTGGCCAGGAAAAAAAGTGAATGGGTCATGGGGAAAAAAAAAAAAGAAGCTGCAAAGGAAGGTCTGTGCAGTTAGAGATTAAATGATCCAAGCACCAAGGCCTTGCACTGAACCTTGAACACAGCTGTAGGAGGATTCTGGCATGCGCATGCAAACAGTCACAAGGAGGAAAGGGTTACAAACCATCTAAATCCGTGAAATAAGACAGATCTATGTCCATGTTAAACCAGACAGATTGTTAGGATCAAGACCAAGGACAACTTAGTCAGATTTCAACTGCCTGGTTGAGAAGCTGCTGAAATGTGACAGTCCTAAGCTCTTAGTAGCATTAAATACTGTAGACAGGCAATTAGTTCCTTAAAACACCACAAAGAAAATCACTCTGTCTTATTTTTTTTTAAACATAAACCTGACAAAACAAGTGACATTTAGTCTTATTATACAGCTAAGAATAAAACATAAGACAGGAAGCGCCATTAAAAGTTATTTTGAGTTTTTCTTCCAATCCAGCTTACTCTCAGATTCAACTGTTAGTAGAAGCTGACGCAGAACAAGGGTGAAATACTACTGAAGAGAAAGCCAACCTCTTTTTGGAGGGCCATATATACAATGAAATAAGAAAGCACCTCGTTGCTGATTAACCTGCCATAGAAAAGCAGTCAGAAGGAAGAGGGGAGACCAAAAACAGCACAGAGAAACTGACACAGTTTCTCTCTCTCTAAATACAACACCTAGTTAGATCTTACCCTACACATTGTTTTTCAAAACAGATGAATTCACATTTGAATTGATTATCTGAATTTCAGTATTAATGACCAAGCGTAAAGCTAACGAGGCATAACAGCATCTCTACTTCAGGATAATCAGTCTCCAGAACAGGCTGTCTTAAAGAGGTGTCGTCTATGTAGGCCAAACGCCCCACACTGTACATGAGAATGCCATCTTCTCTAGAGGTACCAGGGATGACAGTAGTACCATGGATGTTGGCCATTACAACCTGGATACTTTCAGTATTTGCACTATCCAAGACAAGCTGGAACACAGTAGGTATTTACTTTAGTGTAACAAGACTGAAATGCCAAGAAAATATACTGCAGGAGGAGTTTCAGGTGGAAAAATAATTTTCAGCCTCCCTCTAATAGATGAGTAGAGTCTATTCTACCTTCAATTGCAAATAGAATGATAGGCACAAAAGCTGTATTTTAAGAGATTTAACATGACACAGAATCTACTAGAACAGAATGGACATGCATCATACGTGTCTCCTAAAGAGTTCTGCATGTGGAGCTAGTGCCTGCGGATCAGCTTCTTTCACAAAACGCATTACTTCCTCTATTGACCAGGTGGAAGGATCCTTATTCAATATTCTTGAAGGTTCTCTTTTTAGTGAATTCAAATCTGGTCCAGTTGTGGAACTTGCAGCTTTTAGTACAAAAATATCAAGAAAGGAAGAAGTATCACTAGTCTACACAGACATAACACATTTCATTTTACCTTAAGACATTCTTAATATTAACATGCAGCTTTTATTATGCATTCTTTGCAATATATCAAAATGAAAGATGTTTTATTTTCCTCCAAATAATATCGAACTGCTCCATTTGTCTTTAAATGCGTTATATAACTGCAAACATTTACAGCAGCATGAACATTAGCACTATGACATACTTAGAGGAATTAGTTCAACTTGTACTTGGCTCCTGGATACCAAGATGGCATTAATTGGGAATGTGGCAAAGGCAAGTTAAGCTGTGCAGACAGAGGGAGTGACAGGAGGAAAGCCTATCCCCGTATTTCAATGACATGGCAGTAGCTGATAAGATGCTCAGGAAGTGAGCTGCATACAGCTATCCCTCTCCTGTCTGGCATGCTGCAGGGTCCGCAACAGCAGGGAGATGAAAGTGCAGCAGGCAAGACCTCCCTGGCTTGCACCGCAGTATTAGTTCTAACAGGCTTGAGTTCTGCGTTTGCAGTTACGTTAGCAAGCCTGGCATGCTTAGCAACAGCACAACATTTCTCTCCATATGCAAGCTTTTCTATGGCAAAGAAGTTCTTCATTCATAACTCACGGACTTTGTACGTTAATAAAAGCAGTCACACATTTTGGAAAGCTTAGTTCTATCGCATACCTTCAATACGCCTCTGCATTCGATTCATACCAACTTCATAGTAACCGCTGCTCCCAGCAGAGCTCAAGGACAGCCGGCGCAGGATTGGGGCTGAATTTGAGGTAGCAGTCACTGGCTGAAGGGAATTTCTGTAATATGCCATGCTCCCTGAAGTACGATATTCTGTGGAATTTCGACGGGTCGGGCTTGAAGGATTTACAGAATTAAGTGCAGAATCCATTGAGTCCTCAGAAAATTGGTGTTCTTTGGAAGTGCTGTTTTCCTCTATAGGTAATGTTTCTGCAACACAGAAAGCAAGTATCAATATGTTCAGTGATGGACGTGATTCCTTTGTTATTTAACTCCTTGCTATGTTCTGTTGAAGGTATTGACAGGTTGTAAGCCTGTTAACAAATCTCCTGTGAGGCAACCACTGCTGCTGAACATTTATCCCTTTCCTTAAGTAATTATTGAGCTTTTACTGTAATTTTAAACATTTTATGTAGCAAAAGATTTAATATGTCAAGTTTGAGACAGTCTTCTATAAATCATTTCAATTGTATTTGTTAAATACTATGAACAAGGAAATGACAGGAAATTTTGGGGGGTAAAATTGTCTGATATTAATATCGATACAATCAAACAATCTTAGTCAAGCACTTTCATTATCTTTTTTAAAACATATTCTCAAAAAGCTAACCATTAAGAGTGTGTTACGTTTCTCTTGCAAGAAATTTTTAATATAAACTCTCACGTTAACTAACAATCATTTAATTTGTTCCAAACAGCAGAGGGAGTCCCTAACTTCACTAAGTAAGTGGAAAATTATCATCCATAGATCCCAATACATTCAGACACAGAGGCCACCATTAAAAATTGAGTAGGTAAAGCCACAGAAGGCTGTGAGCACCAGGTATGGCACAGTAACATAACACATTTTGACCACAATGCTGCATATACACACAGGTAGTTCTTTGCACAGGGCCGGGTCTATGAGCACAGACTCTGGAAAGCTAAAGATACATGTAAATTACTGAACCCACTGAGCAAGTTTAAAAAAAACCAACATCAGGTCTCAGGAAAGAGACTATAACAACATTCTCCTTTTTAGTTCTTATCCCTTACCAGCTAATTTCTACTCTGCAAAACACTAACAATGGCCACTTAGAAGACTCTTGAATTTTTAGAGCCTGTCAATACTGTTTCTAAGCCAGACGACCACCATTCAGCAGGTCCCTTTCCCTGTGCCACCAGACAGGAGCCAGGTGTGATTGATTACCGAAAATTTCACTCAGTCAACCAAATTCAGGTCTGACTGGGAGAAACATGCCTGGGTGGGGTGGGGGGAACAACATCAATGAGAACACCACTCCATTCTCTAGCACTCATACATATTCTTCTCTGGTTGCATCAGGCCGATATCTAGCCCGAGAAAGAAGTTGGAAGCATGATGTACAAATCTGTATGAAACAAATGCTGCTTTGGCAGGAGAGTGAAGAGCTGGAAAATATAGCTAACAGGTTCACAGAAGTGTAAACCCCACACTACCATCTTGAAAATTACTCTAGTGAAGTTACAAGACATATGCTAGTAAAGCAGCATATTCTTTGAGATAAGAACGGGTATACTCTGTGAAACAAGTTCCTGAAATAAGCCTTTTACTACCCTTCTTATGTGACAACTTTCAAGAATTTCTTGGGTAAATACTCAATTAAAATTAAAGGAAGAGTATTTTCCTAAAAAACCCAGTGAGCTTCTTCAGGCATGTTTTCAACTTGCTTCAGGAGGTCTTAGGTTCTCTGCTGAAACCTGTTTAAAAGTGGACTGCAGTGAAGAACTGTTAAGCATGTTTTGGTCTTCAGACAGCATAATCCCGAAAGGGAAGAAGGGTACTCGGGGAGCCAGCTCCCTACTTAGTGAATTCAGAAAGGCAAGATCTGCAAGATAATGTAATATCTTTTACTAAACTTGACAGTTGTGGAATAAAGCAGCTTTTATGGACACAAGCCCTTCTCTTTCACATATACAACCCTCAAAACAACTACTGCCAAACTTGCTGGTTTGTTAGATTTGAATCACAAAAACAAAGGTGGGGCTATTGAGATTTTAGGAGAAAACAAACAAACAAGAAAACTAATTTCTTTACATTTGTCAGCTCGAAGTAGTTGCAGCAACTTACCAAAACGAAAAACAAAAGCCATCATTCTACAGAATTTCAGAGAGACTTTAAGAGACATAGTCAATGATACGGCACTATAAAATTAAAGGGTAGCTAACCAAGGGAAAATTAGAACTGTAGAGAATGAAACCACCAATAGAAATGTCAGTCCAAGACCAAAAGGCAGAGGTGAGACTTTAAATAGTTACAGCAAAGCTATATGAAGGAGCCTAGGGCTTAACTGACTGAATTTGTAGATTCAGATTTCAGAAGTCTTGAAAGGTAGGACGAAACAATGGAGACAATACTCCCTCAGCAGAAAGTTTTAACTAGAATATTTAAGCATATATCAGCCAACTCCATGTAATGTCTTAAGAAAAAAAACTTTTTGTAGTTATAGTAAAAAAGCAGAGGTCTCAAATACATATATATTTTTTAAAAATAATTGTTTTACATAATCCTTGTCAAGATTTCTGAAGACACAAAGATTTTTAAAATTGACTGTATTACAAAAGAATTTAATGGTATTTATTCCAACTATATCCCAGATTTCTCTCTGATGTTATATATCCTAAAGTAAACAGTAGTAAATAGGGCTAGGAAAGATGAGCTCTGCTGTTTCTCCCAACATATCAGCATTTGAATTTATCTTAACTGTAAATTCTCAACTCACACCCACAAGGTGGAAAAGCTGGCATATTACTCAGGGTCATAATCTTTTAGAGAAGGTGTTTCTGTTCAGCAACTGCAGTGTCCAATCCACTCCCTTTCCATCCATCTAGCTTCTCTACTACAAAACGCAGCTGCAATCTTGTTGAAAAGTGGCCAACTGGTATGACAGCTGATTCAAAATCGGAATCTGGCAAACGGAGCTTTGCAATCCATGGAGCAACGAATGACACTCTTCTACCTCAACATTTTGAGCAGTTGTAAATAACGGTACTATGGAAAGAGACGGGAGGTTCCACTGCAGAATGCCTGATCCCTGGATAAATTAATAAAAGGCCAATAAAAGCCCTTATGTTTCTAATGTAAGGATGGCAACAGACTGTTTAAACACTGAAGGCCTTAGCAGGAATTGGACGTTTTGTTTTCTTGAAGCTCCTCCGGGAATTAGAAGCTAGTTGTTCTGCCTCATACATAACGGGAATGATGTAATCAGCCGCAGTAGTAAGAACGCTCAAGGGGACGGAAACTGAGTTGTTCCCCACCCCCTCCTCCTTTATCTTTCATAACTTTAGGAAGAAACTGCTAGTGAGCAGCAAAGACAGCAAAATCTGCAAAGCATATCCCTGAGTACATCAGAAGGAAAATGAGCTGTTTGAAAGACCCTTTCCCGCAATTATTCCATTTTGCCTTCAAATGATATTTCAAAACAACTATTTCAAGACAACTATGTCTCAATGGAACCAGAACTTCCTGGGGGCAGATCTTTCTTACTAACCAACCCATGACTGACCGCTATAAAATTACCTCCAGATTTTCAGCAGAGGACATTGCCCTAATGGAAAACACACAACACTAGAGACCACTTGCCTCTTGAAATGCACAGAGTACGCATTCAAACCTCTGAAACCACAGCAAAATAGTTATTTTAATTATTTCTTATCCAAGTAACTGCAGTTCATAATGAACTGATCTCAAAATGTATTTTAAGGACTACACTGACTTATCTGTAAAAGGTATCGATCAGCAAACAAGGATTAAAAAGCAGTATATGCACTCATGTTTACTTTGAGGAAGATTTCTTACAAGATAATGCAGATCTACTGAAACATTTGTTTTGCTCCAATTGAAACAACTTCATTTGAGTATAATTAAGTGTTCCATACTTATTAAATTACCTACCAGAAACACATGACTTTAGGTGTACGATATATCTGTGGAATTAAGCCAGTACTTCTTTTGGAAAGACACGGAAACCAATAATCAATGCAGAACTGTATTTCCTGCTGCTGATATATGCAAAGAAGTGAATATGCTATATATATATAAAAATAATAAGATGTACCATTTAAAATAAGCTATCATTTTGAATATTTTAACTTGGTATCTTTTTCTGCTTTAACTGTACTCTTAAAACTTTAAAATCTTCACAGAAAAGAGATTATTCTGTCCTCACTGATGCTAATAGACAAAAAATTACCCCAGGATCTCAAAAAAAAAAACAAAAAAAACACATGAAGGAAGAAATAACTACTCTCCTTCATGTCTCAAAAAAGCCTTTGGAAATGTTGCACAAATACCTTTGAGCAAGAGAAAGTATGTATCAGATGAGATGAGTCAAATCAACAAGCTACCATGGTTTAACCAGTTAAGTAGCAAATGCAGAGTACAAAACCCACATTTTCCTAAGTCCGTCTCACTGAGGTTTAAACCTACATGTAATACCCCACATCTGAGGCAGACTAAGACGAGACATGTGCTCAGTTACTGCAGCTGAGCTGCAGAGCAGGAAAAGGTGCTATTCATCAGTGAGCTAAATCAATCTAACAGCCAGCTGCCACAGGGAGGCTTCGCTGCTCCCCTGGCCACGGCTGCATTTTATTCAACCCTTCCCTGTACTTGTCCGAGTCCACAGTGAGTCAGTCCAGAGAATTAAACTGCAATCTTTGCTTCATCAAAATGTTTTCTGTGCTTTGGCTCACTGGTTCTGCTCACCACCCAGCCAAGGGGCCTGGGACCCACTGCAGGGACAAGGAGGCAAGGAAAGCAGGAGCAGCACAATTTTCACTGGCAGTTAGCCATAAACTCAGCTCAACTGTATCATCAGGCTACACCCTTACTCACTTGCTGGCCTCAGCCTAGAGCTACTAAGAGTTGCTTCCATTTTATCTCCTAGTCCATTTCAAGGCAACTGGTTTTCTACTAAATATCAATATATGAAGCAGGAGACTTCATTCGTCACCTTTTTGTCTGAGCCTCCTCACAGTGCAAAACCTGTGCCACTGATCAATAATTAACATACTTTCACCCTGACCTGTCAAAGGCTAGAGACAAACCAG